TCATCTTTACGCCTCGTTTCTTGAACTCATTGCTGATCTTGGCAGCACGGGCGAGCTCAGTGGTGCATACAGGAGTAAAGTCCCTCGGGTGGGAGAACAGGATACCCCATCTGCAGGGGAAAAGAGACATTGTTCCAACTCAACAAGGCCTCTGTTTGGAGCATCAATTAAAAGTAAAAATAAAATGTTAAAATAAAAAATTTCAATGTGTTCGATCATCTTTATAACAGTCACCGTGTGCAATTCAAATCTTTATAGACAGGATGTGTTACAAAAATCAAGTCAAAAGTTCAAGGAAACCACAAGCTGAAGAGACTTGTAAAACAATAAGCAAGTTTCCATGCTTTCACCACCCTGTGCTTCCAACATGCTTTATAAACTGATACTGAGAAATATTCTGAAAGAAAAAGATCATTAAAGAGTAGGAGCCGAAACAAAAAAAAAAAAAAAAAAAAAAAGGATGAAATAGCAGAGAAAGGGGAACAAAAGGAGGAGAGCTTTGAGCTTTGAGCTTCCAAAAGCTCAAAGCTTTTGGAACTGTGGCCCCCAGATTGTGGAACTCTCTCCCTTTGAGCCTGAGATCTGTGGACTCAGTGGTCGCTTTTAAAAAAACAGCTAAAAACTCATCTTTTTAAACTTGCTTTTGGTTGATTTTTATTTTTAGGTTTTAGCTTCTGTGAAGCACTTTGTGATTTTTATCTTGAAAGGTGCTATATAAATAAAGTTTTACTTACTTACTTAGAGTAATTTCCAAACACAGGCTAAAGCAACAAGTATCTGTGAGTATGACAGAGAGAACAAGACTTTAAATCCACTAAGGAGTTACCTGTTGGTCTTTTTAAAGTAGCTTTGGAATCATGTGAGTTTGGGGTCTGCCATGACTTGGATGGATTTGCCCTTCAGTCTGTTGTGACCCCTCATCACATGGTTTAGAAGCATTATGATCAGCTGATTATTGGGTGACTAAACCAGTTTGGGTTTTTTGTTTGCTTCTTTGATGTTTTTGGCTAAATATCCTAGGCTTCAAATGAGGCTGAACAAAGTTTGTTCACCTCTTGGGATTAGAATTTGAACTGGTAGGGGGAAAAATTCCAAATGAGGGGGGAAAGGCACAAGGAAAAGTTTGAAACGGTTTGAACAGATGGCTGCCTCACACAGTGCAACATTTCCGAGGAGGGAAAAATAAGGAAGTTATTATGCAGTCACCAAAACTGGGTGGTGTTCTCATGTTGATGAAAGCTGGAATTATCTGATCCAGTTACACTTTTGATAACACAATGTGTGCCAAAACTTTAGGATAGCAGAATGACTGTTTTCATTCTTTTTTTCCCCCAAATATTCTGCTTTCTCTGGCAAAAACTGCAAGGCATTTGATTTGTAGGGATATAAAACTGCATATAGGAGAAGCCTGAATTTTGAATGGTTTGCCATAAATCATTGCAAATTATTTTCTTGGGTATTTACAAATCAGCTAACAACTACATGTTTCAGTTTTTCCAAAGGAAAGAAAAACACCCCAGATATTTAAGTAGTGTTGAAAAGTGTTCCTGTTTAAAGCACATCGTTTTTTATGGGGAGGAGAGAAGAGTGGGGGAAAGAGTACCCAAAGGAAGTTGCATCATGTTATTGGGACACCTCACAGCAAAATGTGAATTGCAAAGTGTGCACCTCGAGCTGTGTGTGGGTGTGTGTTAAATATTATACATACACACGGTGCTCTTTTTCTGTCTGATATTTTAACCAATCGAGCCTATTAGTGTTGGATGTGTGCACTGCCAAGTTCAAAAATAGGCACACAACAAGGAGTGCAATTAAACCTCAGTGGAGAACAGACTAGAGGGAAAACAAACAGCCACGCACACAACCGTTTCACACAGTTTACACCTCCAGTATGTAATAAACTGCTTCTTGTAGTCGTTTTTATTGTCTAACAGTTTACCTGTTAACAGCGTGTAGTTAAGACTGTTAACTGAGTTTTTTGTTTGCGTAGTTAACAAACTACAAGTGTCTCGAAACCAATAGGTCACGCTTGTGTAACGCTGTCTATGTCAGCCGCCATAACTGGCGAGTAAGATCTGGGAAAAATCTGCTAAAGCTTTTAATCGAGAGGAATCGCGAAGGGATGGTAACTGGCTGACCACGCAATAAGCTGCACTGTTGCAGCATTACTACCAAAACCCACTTAAAACAAGTTACAGTGCGACGTCTGTACACTGCAAGATGACACTCACGAGTTGCCCAGGAAGTCGTGAAACTTGATCCTGCCGATGCTGGTGTCAGCCTCGAAATTTGGAATTTCGTCTCCCAACAGAAGTCCAGGCATGGTCGACTCTCCTGTTCAGCTCAAACACCAGAGATAACGGACAGGAGCAAAATGCTGACCCCACTGCGCAATATTTCAATGGATCCGGATAGAGGCGGATCCATTCGGTCCAGCGTAGCTCACCGACCAACCAGAGGAGAGTCCTAAAAACACGTGACATTAACTATCGAAGCAAACAGAGAATAACGACGCAAACGTATTAGAAACAAATAATTAAAAACTTTTCAAAAAATAATGTGCAAAGTGTAAGAAAGATATATTGTTAATTTAAAAACGAAGACCAAAATTAATAAAGTAATTCATTAAAATATGGAGAACTCGTCATAAATTTTAGGCCATGTCAGTTTGCTAAAATTTAATTTGTCCACCGTAATGAGTGGTGACAATCTCAATAATAATGACAATCCGATGCTACATTTTTTTTAAATAAGAAAAACTGAGGTCAACTCTATAGCTATTAAAAAAATATTCAAATAATTCTATAAAAAAATCATTTTTATAGAAAATGAATTAAATGAACGTTCTCTAAAAAATAAATAGACTTAAAAACAAAAGATAAAAAAGATTGCAAATATTAAACCGTACTAACTCAGTCTTATAGAAATCAAATACATGCAAACTTAAAACTACTCAATTTTATACATGTATTTATTCATTTATTTGTTTATTTATTTTGAAAATACACAATTTCTACACAATTTTAGTCGCGATAACTTCGCTAAGGGAATAAAATAGTTTCGAAAACACAACTTCCCAGGATGCTTTGCGAGAAGAACAACAAATATGGCGTCTCGGCTCATCTTTTCCTGGACGTGATAAGAATTGTGAAACGTACAACAGATGAGCTAAAGAAGCGACAACCGGGACAGCACTGCAGAAAATTTACCGCTGCTGTGCATCTACACTACACATACCTGTCTACGCCGGTGAGTCAAAGGACACCATGCCCTCTCCTAAAGCGAAAAACCCCGGTCGCAGCGGAGGAAGCCCGGTGCTCGGGAGCTCCAACGGCCGCTACGAGTTCATGTCTCTGACAAAGCCGCTAAACCGGTCTTCACCGCCACACCTGCTCCAGCGCCAGGGCTCCGACCCGACCACGGCCCGACTTCGAGCCTCTGAAAGCCCCACTCGGCGCCGGGGCTCCGGCTCCTCCACGGGCTCCGCGAGCGGTCAGGGGCCACTTGAAGAAGATGGTATCCGGCTTAACCCCTCCCTCATTCGCGTAGCGCTCAGCTCCCTGCTGGCCATCGACCTGTGGCTGTCCAAGCAGCTGGGAGTGTGTGCCTGTGAGGACTCGTCCTGGGGCAGTGTGCGCCCCTTAATGAAGCTCTTAGAGATATCGGGACATGGTATCCCGTGGCTGGCTGGTACCGCCTACTGTCTGTACAAGAGCGACAGTGCTGCAGGACAAGAAGTCATGCTCAACCTTTTCATGGGTAAAACTCTGCTTTTTGTGTTCTTTCATGTTGCTTCTTCTTCCAGCATCGTATGTAATCACAGACAAACCCCTCTCAATACATATCAGTGCGCCACTGAGCTGGGTTTGGTGTCACAGCTCCTTGCTCCTTCCTGGTCCTGATTTGTCCTGCACAGTTCTTCTTTATAATTTCTTCACTTAAGCAACAGAAGGGCTGATCCCACCTCTCATAACTCGTCAGATAATGAGTATACAGGGTTATCTTTGTGTAATTGGTATTGGCTGGCTCTCACCTGTAGATGTCACCTATTACACCTTTTGTGATGTTCCTTCACAGCTTGGAAAACTGGTAAAAGCATAAGATTATGTGAAATGGGTCTTAATCTGAAAAACTGGATAGCTATGTAAAATGTTGACTGAAGTGCCAAAGTGGTCTGGGGCTTCTTTGCCTCCAGGGAGAGTCCATGTGATGCTGTGTGAAGCCACAGCAAGGAAATACATCTGATAGTGATGTTTTCAGAAGAGCAGGGTCAAGACCGGAGTATTCTGCAGTGAAACCAGAAATGCCAAAGACCTATATTTGGATTCTAGACCGAGTTATAAACAGTTCTTTAATTACCAAGGTTGTGTTCAGAGTCATAGTTGGATTAAGCAGTTGGTATCAGTAAAGCCCACAGTGTCATTTGTGATTGCATGTACTTATTTATTGTGGTTTTACATTATACATTTACTGCTGTACAGTGGTAGTATTACCTCGGTAATATCATAGGAAAACAAATATGTTTAATGGGCTTCTAAGCTAAAAATATGAGTAATAGTTTCATATGAAATTGACCTATGACAAAGTGTGATGGACATTTTCTCTATTTTATGACCTGCTTTCCACTTTCAGATATTAAGGAGAAGTCAGAAACTGAATTAAGCTGCCGTTTAAGCTGGATCAGGCAGAAACTTTGTTATTAAATAACAGACTATTGAATAAGGGCTTCCCTAGTTAAACCTCATCTACCACAATAGGGAGATGTGCCCCAAGGGTATTGAATAAAGAGTTCAATATGTCCCCATAGTCTTTCAGTAATCATTTAATATTTACTTGCCAACCCTCCCAAATGCATAATGTTAGTGAGTAAGCACTACTGTGGTTCATATCAGCATTAAATAAACACAAGGCTTTAAGAAGTATTACCTTAAGTAGTTTAGAGCAAGTAAGCATCGGTTTTGGTAAAATCCCAGCTCTTCATCAAAACATGTCTGGAACAAGACTCCCTCTTACACAGCACTCTGATGTGGGGGCTAAATAGTGCACTTACTTCAAAAGAACAGCTTAAAAGGGAAGCGGCAAGCTGCTGTGTGATAATGCAAACAGTTTAAACCATTTTCTCTCTATGGTTATTAACCTCAGGTCTTAAAAGCAGCAGATAATAATGTAACCACATAGTAGTTGTCAGTAATGATGGATGCAATGTGCATTTCTGTTTTCATTTTGCTGAAGCCCTTTTATTAGATTCGTAGAAGCGAATTGGCTTCATGCCACACGAGTGTTGCATTAATTTTTCAGTGCTGCAGCCCAGGAGAGCAAAAGCTTTTCATTCTCTCAATGCAGAAACACGACTTAAAAACTGCAGTCATTCCTGTAATCAATGCTGCTGTTGTATCATTCCCTTTCATCATACTGTGAAATTCTTTGTGATATCATTGTGGTGCAAATAACAGTTAGGTTTTGGGTTTTGTTAAATTTTTTTTTTCCAATAAGAAAACCCTGGTCAAATAACAACAATCTTTACCAGATTGCAGATTATTGTAGGCCTTCTACAAGTCTAAAATTCTGCAAGTCAAGTTAACTTTTCACTTTTAATAGGAAAAAATAAAAGTTAACACAAAGTTTAATTCATCTGCTTAATCTTCAAGATCCTGGAGAATTTGCTGGCACTGAAATGGACTAAATAGTCAATGGTCTGGTTCTTACCTGGTGCTTTTCTACTCTACTTGATCACTGTAAACACTTCATACAACATGTTTCATTCACCTATTCACACACATTCATACGAGCACTTTCTTCTACGTCGAAGTGCATTCTTTCTAACATTCACACTCCCACTGTAACATGACTCATTTCACACTCGGATACGTCAGTATAGTAGCACTACGGTTAATGTTATTCAACACCTGTGCGTTCAATGATGTCAGTCATTTGTGGGAAAAAGTTCCATACTAGGATCCAGGAATTGACTTAAATAAAGCACCTAAACCTCTTTGAGAAAGAGAGTACAGGCATGTATTGGTAGTGATTCATAATGCTCCCACCAGATGGTGCCACATTGAAGAATTTTACAAAGAATATTATAATCAGAGTATTTTCTCTTGTAGTTTTCTATACCGAAATTGCTGTTTTATTGGCAAATTCAGCTTTTTTCCCCCTCCGATGTAAGTACTATAGTATTTTGTAGTGGTGATCAAAATGAGGTTGATCCCAGTTGTTTTTAGTACATTTAATTATTTCTTTACCCATATCGTGCTTTTTTTGTTTGTTTATTTGTTTCAATGTGGTTGTGTTGTTGTTGTTTCATGCATTGTAGCATATCTCCATCTTCTTCCCCTGCAGGCCTGCTGCTGGACCTGATCTTGGTTGGCATTGTTAAGGCGGTGGTGCGTCGGCGTCGGCCAGCACATAATCGTATGGACATGTTCGCCACCTTTTCTGTGGACCGCTACTCCTTCCCCTCCGGACATGCCACGCGTGCCGCCATGTGTGGCCGCTTCCTGCTGGCTCACCTCGTGCTGGCTGCCCCGTTGAGAGTCCTCGTTCTGCTGTGGGTGGGCCTGGTAGGGTTGAGTCGAGTGATGCTGGGCAGGCACAATGTGACTGATGTGATATTTGGGTTCTGGATGGGCTATTGCCAGTACAACCTTGTGGAAATGCTGTGGCTGTCCCCTCAAACACTGCAAGGGCTGCTGGGACAGTCAGCTTAAGGACTTAAGGAAATGGTAGTTTATATTTGAGTAAAGGAGCACTTGCACACATTTTTCCCTTATAGTAATATATTCTCACTGAATTGAAAGCAGCACTATTTCTAAGGTTGGGATCATTTTAAAAATACATTTAATTTGTAACAAAACGATATTTGCTGAAGAGAAATATGAATAATGTTGTGCAGCATAAAGCTGTGTTAAAACAAAAATTGTTTTGTTATAAAATAAATGTTTTTATACATTCAAATAAATATTAAGAATACCTTTTACATCCCATAAGTGTTGTATTGGATATTATGCTGACACTAGAGCAGGGGTGTCAAACTCAAATACACAGTGGGCCAAAATTCAAAACTGGAACAAAGTCGCGGGCTAACATTAATATTTATTGAAATATATTTATTCCTCCAGATATAAGAATGAATCTTTTCTTATGGACTCAAACACGTTTTGCTGAAAAACTGAATATGGAACAAGCAAATCTTAATACTAAACAATATATATATTAGCTGTATAATATATATATTATAGGCCAGCTCTAATAGTAATTTGGTATGGCTTCGCGGGCCAAATGTAATTAGGCTGCGGGCCAGAGTTTGACACCTATGCACTAGAGAGTAGATCTTTATAAAAATAAAAAATAAAAAAAAACGAAGAGTTTTTCATGTTGTGTGACAACTAAGTCCACTACTAGCCCTCTTTCTGAGGTAGCTGCTAGCTTGTCTATAACAAGT